TGATATGGTTTTTCGGGACAGATCATCTAATCCTATCTTTTAGCCCTTGGAGCTACTTTCTCCAAATCCATCATTTCTTTATTTCTGACAAACTGGGTCAAGCGAGTAGCAAAGTTTAGCCATATTTTTCCAAGCCTCCACCTCCACCCTTCCTTCACATCTTTTATTTTTTTTTTTGGTTCGTTGGTTATATTGATTATAGTAATTAGGAAATGGCTTTATTAATCAAATAATTGTCTGTTAGTAGTTAAAATTTTGTGATTCTTGGGATGATGATGGTGAATTTTTACTGCTTGTGGTTGGCTGGTTGGTAGTAAGAGGATAAAGGTTAGTAGCCAGGATATTGGTTATGATGACAGGCTGTTTCATTGATTGGGTGGTGTGTGTTGGCTTCAGATAGGTATAGGGAAGATGAAATTCATGCAGGTTATTGTTGAATACCTGGTTCCTGTCTCCAAGCATGAAAGCCGTTCTAGAAGTTGAGGGCGGTGATTCTGATGGGAATAACAGGAAGAATGCCTATTTAGCTCTTCACAAGCAATCAAGATATTTGCTTTTTTTTTTTTCTTTGTAGGAATTGATATGGTACACCATATTTGTTGTTATTAGTGCAATACAAATGTTAAGTCTTGTCAAATATTGTTTCTGAAGTTGTAGATTAGTTGTTTCTGCCGTTTAATTGCAAAATAAGATTATTCTATAACTAATGGTATAATATTCAATGCGATTCCTCTTTACATCTTTGCGTTCTGATTTTCTCTGATTCTAGTCCTGGTTCATGCTGATTGGACATTTAACCAAAATCTAAAGTTATTTTTGAAGCTTAACATCAAACTCACCAACAAAAGGAAAATGTTTAGGAAAGAAACATTGCTTCCAAAACACCTCTACAGAACACTTCTTTGCTGTGGAATGTAAAATCAGAAATAGAATCCCAGTACATAACTGTTCCTCTTAGCCACTATGCTAAATGGAACTGTAAGCGGTTATGCCTAATACTAGAAAGATGAGTACAAATTAAAGAGGGAGTTCACCACTGTCTGCAAGCACTACGGTACTCTTGGGTGTACCACTCTGCCTTCCTTCAGCTTCAACCCTGTACACCACATCCATTCCAGACAGCACCTTCCCGAATACAACATGTCTGCCAGCCAACCTGTAAAAGGTTTCATCTCCCATTAGCTTCAGAACTACAACCTGTAAAAGGTTTTTGAGTGATCCTTTAAAGTTTAGTTTGATAATATTATCTTATGTTGTTTTGCACTGTAATTATTACAAGTATTGTGTTATACTATCCCAAAAATATTTTAAATATTTAATAATTATATTTTAAAAAATATTTATTATAAAATTACTTAATTAAACATATTATTATTTAAAATTAAATTATTAATAATTTAATATATAATGTAAAAAAATTATATTAATTTTAAAGAAAATGGCTTTTGATTTCTTTTTAAAAAATAAGGACAAATAATTTATCAAAAATATAAATTATAAAAATACTATAAATATATATAAAAAATACTGTAAATAACTGTCAAACAAAACTTAAGTAAATAGTACCATAAGGTATTGATTTTTGATATTAACCGTTTCAATATTTGAAAATTACATTAAATTTTAATTAATTAAAAATTGATTCATATTAAACCTTATAAAAATAAAAATTTTCCTAACACCTGTTCTCTGCCCATCAGATTCAAACTTTTGAGATCTTAGTCTACTGATCCCACTCCTTTCACTTCATTGCTCAGGTGATTGACTGATTGGTGCTATAAGGTACTCATGCTTCCCCGCGAAAAGCGCTACTTTGGGAGGATTCGGCAGAAAGATTGTCATATTCATTGGTAGAAAAATGATCATAATGTCAAAAAGGCCAAGAAGATTCCAGAGCCAACTTTCCCATCCGAATCCGCCACTGTTTATTATTTCTGAGACCCCACTTTCATCTCTTTCAACTTAGGGTTTAGATTTTCACGCTTCGCCTCTCATAACCACGACCACCCCATCGGAAAATCCCCAACTCGATCCGTTCACGCTAGATCTCCGCCGTGATTTATAGGGCGGAGATCGTTGACCATGACGCACCGCAAGAAGAAGAACAAAAAGAGATCGCGTCCTCCCAAGGCCCCCTCCAATGCTGCGACCAACGAAAAACAGCGGCAGCAGCAGCTGTTCAGACAGGAACTGTGCCAGCAAGAGGAAGGGAGAATCGTTGATTTGTTGACGAAGGCTGTTGATATCTCTCTCGAAAAAGTGGAGTCTGCGTACAAACAAGCCCACGAGGATCTGATGAAAACCGTCGAGATTCTGTTGAGTGGGTTAGATGGAGATACCAACAGCGAGGGTCCAGATCCGTCAACGAGAGAATCCTCATCGACTCCTGGGTTGGACTTTACGGAAACTGGTTGCGTGCAGAACGTCATGACTGGAAGGGGCAAGCAGCCGAGCCGAGTGGTGGCAACAATGGGGAGGGAGTCAAGGGTGCTTGGTCAAGAGTACGCGAGAGCCAGCACTCATGGGAGCAGGTTTTCCCTTAGCAAATTTATTAAAAACACACCATAACCTTAACGTTTAAAGTATTCTTTATGTTGTTTTAAGCTTTATAATACTGGAGATCCACACTAACAATAAAATCATTATACTTACCTTGGCCAAGATAAGTTTACTGTATTGCATTTTTGGGAATGACTTTGTTGTCTTTAAACGGTAGTTGAAGCCACATCTTGAAACCTTAATTTCTTTCTTTTTAAAACATTTTAGGAATTACTTGAAGGTTCTTACTGGCTCAGAAGCTATCTCTCCAACAAGTCCAACAAGTAATGTGTCGGCTCAGGAAGTATTGGACATCCCAAAGAGTGCTGAACATGATCCAAGCACTACGAACTGGAGCAATGTAGTAAAGAAAAGGCAGTCTCGGAGACCTCGGTTTGATGCTTCTACTTCTACAGTTGCAGAGCGTCAACAAGATAACTGTGGTATTCTTAAATTAATTGTCATGCTTTTTCTCTATGTACAAATCTGGGTCTGTTGATAATAACTCGCAAAATTAATGAATTCTTAACTCTAAACAAACAAAATTTTTTTTCTCTAATTTCATTTTTCTAAAAACAAAACATAAATTAGGAATCAGAAGTGATGCCAAACAGACCATAATCATATAATTTTTAACATTTTTATCTGAATAAGTGCCTATGACAAAGATGCTCAATGATGTTGTGATATTTGTTGTTAGGTTGCACCACCATGAACGTGTATGAACTTCTTATATTTTATCTTGGGATTTTGACATGCCAGCACAACTTGTGAATGCCTATTTTTTCCCCATTATTCGTCAAACATATGAGTTCTCTTAAGGTTTAATTGATGCAGGAGCATAAAGCGTTTTTTTTTTTTTCAATTATTTGTTTTAGTTTGAGTTTTATTTGAAGTCTAAGTTTTAATTTTAGGAAAGTCGTGTGGATATCATGTACTTTTAAACTAGGATTAGAATTAGTAGCTTATTAGGAGTTCATAATTTATTAGAAGTTCAAATTAGAATTGAATTAGGATTATTGGTTATTGTTGGTATATATAGTTATTCTTCTTAGAATTCAAGATCGGTTTTTGTTATGAGATTTTAATTTGAGAATAAACTTGAGGTTGAAAACCTAATTTTTCTTGGTTCCATCTTTAATTTTACGGAGTTCTTAGTTTTTGTTTGTTGTACCCCTACCTTCCCTGCATCATTAATCATACTCTTTTGTCACATGCATCTGACTGTTGATTGAT